AACCCTGCAGTTCCTCTAACGGCCACTAGAGGCTCCATATTAAACATGTTTACAGACTTTTGGTCTCTGGAGCGAATTTCCCCGCTGATGACGACTGTACGTTTATATAAGTCCACCCTTTAAATGATATGAAATATTATATATTAAATATTATTATTATTATTATTATTATATTAAATATCATTATTGTGGAAGACGTCCATTACAGTGAATATAAACACACGTACCAGGAAGCCGGACCCCCACAGACCTGTGGCCCACGTTGCCTCTCTGGTCACATGACCCTCCAACAGGAAGTGGACATTCAGTTCTGGAAGCAGCAGCAGGATGTTGGCCAGCAGGCAGATGGTTGCCATTGGAACCAGAGAGACGCCGACACACTGCAGACACCTCGACACACACATCTGTCAGGATAATGAAATCTGTGATTAATATTCTCAATAATCAATAACAGCTGAAACTCACTTTAATTATAATCAAGTCACCCATTGGGTCAGTAATCCAAGTATCACAATATTAAAGTAACTGGATTACTTACTTTTGGATTACCTCAACATGAAATATGCAAATATAGACAAGAGAACAGAAATATCAATAAGAAGTATTGATCAGAGCGTAATCAATAAACAACAGAACAATGAGACTTTAGATAAAAAACGATGAATGAATAAAAGTATAATCCTGATAATAAATGACATTTTTATTAAATGTAACTGTAATCAGATTACATGTTTCTTTCTGTAACTGTAATGGATTAGTTACCTTCATTTTATATCCTGATTACGTTACATGTAATCTGTTACTTCCTGATCATAAATTTAAAGCTGTTTACTGATTACAATCAATGTATCAATCAATTTGTCCGTGATCTGTTACACACCAGAATATTGATTACTGATCTCAGGAATTATCAGATGAAAAACTCAATATTTACAATCAATACATTAATTACCAATTTCAAGGATTGTCATCAATCAATATAGATCAATATTGATTTTCTTCAATGTGATTGATTATTGAGTTTAAATTTGAACGTTTTTTGAACGGTTTAAAAAAAGATTCACTTTAAAATAGAACAATGACAATGACAATGAATCTTCTGTTTCTGATCAACAAATATATTGATTGATTGATTTCAGTTCTTGGAAAAGAAGGAATAATACTAATAATAATACTAATAATACAAATAATAATAATGATGTTGAAGTCTCACCCTGCTTTGGACAGACAGACGATCCCATTTAGAGTGAGTCTGAGGAACAAACATTTATAACTCTTAGAGACACGCCCACTTCCTTATATGGAAACCACAGCGTGAGGACGGACAGACAGACGGACCACATCAATGTGTCCACGGCCCTTCAGCAGAATTTATTTTATTTAACAGAAAATTAATCTTTAAAGTGTTCACTGTGATCACTGTATTGATCAACCAACAGCTGTATATAATATAATATATAATATAATAATGAGAATTTAACGAAGCACCAGCAGTGACACCAGCTCTCTGCATGAACATCATTAAAGGTTAAAGACTGACACTGTCTATTGTTGTGTGTAAACATATTACGTTATAGAATGACAACAAAGAGTAAAAAACAAACAAACACTGCAGTGGGGTTCGGTGTTCCTGAGGATGGCCATAAATAGAAAACAAAGCATCGTGGTAAACAACGTTCTGGTCTAAATGTGAAAACCTAAACACCTTTGGACTTTCAGAGACTACACAAGGGAGGTCAAGGGTCACTGGGGCAGTTAACGTGGTGATCATGGACGATAGAGAAGTCTAAACTGTCTTTAGATCCTGATCTGAGAACTGACCTCTGAGTCCACTTCATCTTTTCTCTATTTTCAGTTCTTCTAATTCTAGCTGTGAGTCAGAGGACAGCAAAGGCTCATGGGAAACCACCCGCAGGATGACGTGTTCACTGGTCTGGGGTCTGATCCTGAAGCAGTATTTCAACTTGGTCCAGAACCAAATGACCAACCCTAACCCTTGTCCAGAGTTAGTTGGAACTTGATTGACTGATATCAAGTTTATCAACTTCATATTTATGAGCAACGACCTTCATTCATATCTAACCCTAACAGACTCTGTATCGACCGATAATCAATATTTACTATAGATTGACTATAGATTGATAATCAATATTTAGTCCTTCAGGGTCACAGGACCACAAAAACCTCAGAACGATGCCATGACACTGAATGTGAACGTGGTTTTACGGCAGCTGAAGATTACCGGCAGCCGGCGTACAGACAGTAAACAGACAGCGAGCAACAGACTGCACATGATAATATTCACAGCTGGGATTGATTTAATGGAACACTGTTCTGATGGACCCTGACGGACTAAAGGAATATAAACAATGGAGAAACAGGTTCGGACTTTATGATCTGCTGAGTCTGAATGAACACTAAACTTTAATGTTCATAGTTTCAGTAAATGAAGGATTGAACTGATCCAACGATGTGCAGCATCCATACTGACAGCAGGTTAAACATTATGTCTGTGGATGTAAACGAACTAAAGCAGCGACTACAGACCAGGCCTCTATTGGAGACCTGCCTTTATTTGTCAGTACGTGGAGCCACAGCAGGCTTTTAAAGGGGACAGGCTTCTATTAGGGACCCTGCTTTTATTAGTTCCAATATTAGTAAGTTATATATATTTTTAAATATAATTGATCTATAACTATCATTGATTGTAAAATCTCACTTCCTCTTTATATACCTAATATTTAATCATTCAGTTTTCAGCAGCTGCAGTCAATCATTTATCAGATTGTTTGATTAATCTGTAAAATACAGCTGATATTGATTCAATTCAAAGGGAAATTAATTTGATCAGAAGACAAACAGAAAGTAGAAGCTGATCATTTCTCATTAAAAGTATTCATGAATTCATTTTCTGTTCTTGACTGGTTTCAGATAAATATGATCAAATGTAGATTTAGTGATCAATCAGCTGAGACCCTGAACTTTTATTAAGTCGAGGTTGCAACCAATGTCAGACAATAAAAAAACTCTTTATTTCTCATTGTATGAGTGTGCAGTCACAGCAGCGCCACCTGCAGGCTGTAAATCACAGACATACAGTTTATTCTCTGGGAACAGTTAGAGTCAGTCAGTACACAGCGATAGTGTCCATTAACAGTCGGCTCCCACTGTTAGCATTGTATGATGATATCACTGATTACTGTGAAACTGAAGAAAACCTGATTCTCAATTAAAGCAGAAACGTCTCACATCAACCAAAGTCTGTTCAAGCTGATATATTGATCATATATTGATGATTAACTCCGTCTAGAGGCTGAAACAGGAAATCTCCCACAGAACCTGAACGCAGCATCAACGTGTTCAATGTGTGCAGTTGGCATGGTAACATGTTAACGTGTTCAGTCCTCTCTGGTTATTTATACATTGAACAGTGACTCACACACTGAACTCTGGCCGGGTGGTGATCAATATACCAATATATCAATATATACCTTCAGAAGAACTCAAACTAAATATTTCTGACTCTAAACTTCTTCAAACTAATAAAGTGTAAAATTCAATGAAAAATGAATGAAATTTGGTTCAGTTTCTCAACATCTGGCCAAATGTCTGTGGACAGCCCAGTTCGTGTTCAGATCTGTTAAGACCTGATCTCCGGCAGCACTGTTGGACCTCACTGACGGTCTGATGTGGTTTCACTGTCGGAGACCAGGAACATAGGAGGACTGATGAGTCCAGGTTCCCTTACGGAGGGAGGAGGGGGCAATGTTCAGCTGTCCACTTATTTCTGGCCACGTAGTGTCTCCACAGTGAATACAGCGAAGAGAGAGAGAGAGAGAGAGAGAGAGACAGACAGACAGACAGATGGGTGGTCAAGCCACTCAGACTCTGTTGGTAGAGAGACACTGGGACTGAAGCAGAAGGAGAAAGGGGCAGCAGGTTCAGCTGCTGAGGCTGGAGAAGACGTGGGTCAGAGTGGTCTGTTTGCTTCCTCTGGAGGAGGATGATGATGCAGTCTTTGCAGACGAGGCAGAGGAGGGGCTGGAGGAGCTCTTTCTTGGGGGGTGGCGGTTCTGGCGGAGCAAATAGGCATCAGAGGATCCTTTACGTCTGTTGGTGGCTCTCTGCTTCTCCTCCTGGTCCAGCTCTTTCTGCAGGAGCAGAGCCAGTCTGCGGTCCTCCTCCTCCTGCTGCTGTCTGCTCTGCAGCTCCATCTCCCACTCAGAGACCGCCTGCAGGTCCGACCCCCCCAACCCTGGCCCGGAGGAGGAGGAAGAGGAGGAGGAAGAGGAGGAGGGCCGGGAGCGACAGATTCGTTTGGACACCTCCTCATCCTCCTCCAGCTCCAAGCTTTTCCTCTTGGACGATGAAGGTCCTCTGTCCCCCCTCAGCTGAGTCCTGGGGTCCAGCTGACCCCCCTCAAAGGCTGGATGGAGGTCTGGAGAGTCACCGTAATAGTCCAGTTCAGGAGGAGGACGCTGAGATACTAGGATGTTCTCCTAAAACAGGAAGTCCAACATCAATTAACTTAGCTTGGCATAAACCGTGCACAGAGTTAGCCTGGGCTAATCACGTTCTAAAGCAGTATCAGCTGATCAATACGTCTGATCAGTTTGATGTTTTCTGGAGGACTCAGTGACAGAGTCAGCGATCTGTTCCTCTAAAGATCTTTGTGTGTCTCTGATCTGTACCTGGGAATATTGATAATAAAGATCACTGATTGATTGATAGATTGATGAACTGACCTTGTTGGCCATAAAGCTTGAGGCGGAGCTGCAGTCTGAAGAATTACTTTTAGATGGACGAGGACACAAGAACCTGAAACACAGAGACACCTTCATCATCATCATCATCAATCACACTTCAAATGCTTGTGCTGTATATGAACAGATCATCAACAATGATCAATATGGTGTTTGCAGTGCTTCCTGAGCCTCTGGTGATAGTGCAACAGTGTGAATATT